TTCTTCTTCTTCTTCTCCTCTGTCGTGTGTGGTGAGTATCCCCCGCAGATTCCATCACGCTCCGCTGTCTCATTCACTTAATTCCGGCTCTTATCGTGAATTCTGTGCGCTCCTGGTGTCATTAGTATTCCGCGGACACACGGTTTCCTGCGGCGCTGCTTTCCGTCCGTGTCCCCGGTGCCACTTCGCCCCTCAAACCCCTCCATCCAGCCCTCCACCCGGTCCTCTCTCTTCATCCTCCTGGAGTTTAAATGAGGATTTTTGACTCTTATCGTGTCACATCGGGCTTTATTTCACATTTTGTAGGTGAAGAAATCGATCCTGAAACCACGCGAACTTTTTTTCCCTGCGTCCTCGCCAGCGCAGGTGTTTCCATCAAATGCGCAAAGATTGAACACTGAACCAGGAGGACGATACAGCAAGTCAAGTCATTAAAAAAAAAAGTCAGATTCCGTCTTCTTTTCTTCCTCTCCTCTGTGCAGAGTCGATGCCAAAGACTCTCGGAGTCTCCGAGCTGCGGAACATTCTCATTATCTTCGTCGTTTCACCTCCAAAAAACTGCAGTGTAGGCTCATTTTCAGCCAAACCGGGGCAGTAAAAAGATTCTAAGTGAAAATTATCTGCCTCCTTCCCCTGCTGGGGTTGTGTAACAAAAATTAGTACAATAGACACTGATGACGCAGCAACCAGCCCTGTGGTTCTAAAATGAAGCGTGTACCTACCAGGTCCAGGCTGTGCAATATATATATATATATATATATATATATATATATATATATATATGAAATCATCTTCCAAAACTTTCCTTTCATCCAAGAGCATTTCAATAACTCCATTAATGATCCACTGATCTGCACTGAATGCTTTTCATTTTTGGAAGAAAGGCTGAAAACATTGACCTTTAAATCAGTCGTTCACAGAACTCTATTCTGCAGATATTCAAGTATTTAAATTTTTTTTTTTTTTCCTTTTAAATTCTAACTTCTTCATCTAAAACTGCACTGGACTCACACACAGCTCCATCTCTCCTTCATTAGTTTCTCCGACAGTGTCAGTGTCAGCTTCAAACCCTTAATGGTGAAAAGCTGCCGCTGAATTCTGATGAACATGAGGTGAGTTATTAGGAGTCTGAGAGAAGAGGAAGATCAGCCTTCAACCAGGAGGACTGGGGTTCAGGCTGCTGCTGCTGCTGCTGCTGCTGCTGCTGCTGCTGCTGCATCAGCAGGACGTCAATCTGTGTCTTTCTGTGTGTGTGTCCTTGAGCGGAGACCTCCGTGTTGGCGTTGACCCCTAGCAACAGAAACCCAAGGAAAAAAACCCACCCACAAAGAAAGGGTAAAAAAAAAAAATAAAATCCTGGAGAAATGATGGAAACTGACTTGAAAGATTGAAACGTCAGGAACGAGTCAACCCCGACAAAAGTTAGTTTTCTCCAGCGTTTGAGTGTGAGTTTTCGCTGCTGCTGTTTTGAAGTGTTTGAAAACAGCATCGATTTGGCGAGAGGCAGATTGAGTGGCGTTTTCTTGGCTCCAGCGTGAGCAGATGACCAGCGTTCACTGTGATGGAGGAGAATATGGATCAGAGGAAGCGTGTGATTGGTTACTGAGCTCACTGTAGCGCTGCTAATCCTGTTGTGAGACAGGCAAATGGGATTAGGACAGTGTGTGTGTGTGTGTGTGTGTGAGGGGGAAACAGAAGCAGTCACCGGAGCTTATACTCTCTGAATATTCACTTCATTCAGTTTCATCACTCTGACACTGGCCTCCACTCTGACTGTGTTTAGGAAATTAAAAAAAAAAAAAAAAAAAGGCTTTTCCACGTAGTCGACCAAACGCTTTTGTCTTTTTCTACACTCTGTTCAGTGGAACTGACTTTAAAATAAGGAGCGTGGTCCCATTTTGGACGAGAGAATAAAACAGAACATGTTTTTTTGTTGTTGTTTTTTTTCCCTCGGTTTCTGTTGGTGATTCTGCTGTGGCTGCAGAGTCGCCTCCATGAACTCATTTCCCATAATAATCAGCATCAGTGAGAGACTGTGTTGAATGTCATGGACATTCAGCAGCTGGTTCCATCCATTCACTTCAACACAGATGATCAGGACAGACCTTGGTTTCTTTCTGCTGAATTTTTTTACTGTTATTTTGACTTTCACAATTCAACTGGTCACACAGTGGTGGAGTGGTTAGTGTTAGTGCCTTACAGCAAGAATGTCACCAGTTTACTGGTTCAATGTCCTGTTTATAGGTGGCGCCCAAGTGCTCGTCCGTTTTTCCTCTCTGACCCAAAAACTTCACTTTAAATTGACCAAAGGTGTGAATGTTAGTGTGAATGTTAGTGTGAATGTTAGTTTGAATGTTAGTTTGAATCTTAGCGTGAATGTTAGTGTGAACGTTAGTGTGAACGTTAGTGTGAATGTTAGTGTGAATGTTAGTGTGAATGTTAGTGTGAATGTTAGTGTGAATGTTAGTGTGAGGCTTATCTCCCAGGTGACTCTCATCCACCGTCACATTCAGAGTCCGTTCAGTAGAACCAGGAGCATCAGACTCTGCCTTTCCCCCGATGAGATCTTGGTTTCCCATGATGCTGCTGCTGCTGCTGCTGCTGCAAACCTGTCTTCACAAAGCGCTTGTTGCCCTGCAGCTACATCTGTTCCACTTTCCACAGTTTACAGAGTCAGGCAGAGGCTGTGACTTTGGATCTGGACGTTGCGGGTGGTTTGTTTGTTTCATTTCGCCGCTGCTTCATCAGTGGATGGATATTAAAGGGTTAAACATCGTCATCATCAGTGCTGGAAAAAGAAAAACTTTTTGGACGTACTTTGAACTTCTTGACATCTCTCAGAAAAAAAATATGAAATCTTTGATGACGGATGTGAACATCACAGCTGTGTTGTTTTTTCACGTAAGTTCTCAGGATGGTTCACGCCAGGCGCGTGTGCAGAGGTGACGATCAGCACGCTGGTTTTATTTATTCAAGCTAGTCGCTAATGATCCTGACACAGCAATCACAGGAGGTTTTTTTTTTTTTTTCACCAGTATAGATGTTAGTGTGAGGTACAGGGAGAGGACGGTGTTAGCTTCTCCGTCAAGGACCCTGTCAATAGGCTGCACTGAAGGAGGGGGCCGGGGGGGGGTTAGGGGGGGGGTCTATGAATACTGCATGT